TTGAATCTAGACGTCCCTTCTACCAACAATCTCTCGTAGATCCAATGTTGTCACACAATAGTGGAATGGGTGATATGGTAGGATTCCAAATTCTAGAATGAACAACTTCATCCATTAGGCAGCGTCACTTACAACAATGTGCTTGGCTTGGGTCGTGGATTATTTTCTTACTACACAGGACCCCATCATGGAGATGTAACCAGATGTAGATTTTCTATCATCTGGGTCTGACTGGAAGTCGGCATCGGTATACCCTAGGATCTTTAGTGAACTACTATCGAATACCAGACAAAACTCTTTTGTCATTCGGAAGTATTTAAGTATGTTTTTCACAGCTACCTAGTGCTCCTGTCTTGGATTTGACTGGTATCTACTTACCACACTCACTGCCTGAGCAATGTTTGGCCGAGTTTACAACATGGCATACATGATGCTCCCTATGGCTGAGGAATAGGGAACCTCTCTCATGCCCTCAATCTTCTCGGGAGTCTTGGGAGACATACCCTTGGAGAGAGTGACTCCGTGTCTGAAAGGGACAAATCCCTTGGGGTTCCCCATGCTGTATCTTTTGACAATCTTGTCAATGTAAGTAGACTGGATAATCCTATTATCCTCTTTGATCTATATCTATAGAATCGAAGTCCCAAGATATAGGAGGTTTCTCCAAGATCTTTCATGGAGAATTGCTGCGAATGCCACACTATCACCGTAGTTAACATTCCTACATCATTCCCAATGAGTAAAATGTCATCTATATACAGAACTAAGAATGTAACCCTATCTCCCATTGTTTTTCTGTAAACACAGGGCTCATCCGGATTTTGCTCAAAGTAAAACTGTTTGACGGTAGGGTCAAACTGGATGTTCCAACTCCTTGAAGCTTGCTTAAGTTCATAAATGGATCAGTTAAGTTTGCACACCATGTGTTCTTGACCTACAACAATGTAACCTTGCGGTTGCTGTATGTAGATATCTTCAGTAAGAGCTCCATTCAGGAACACGGTTTTGACATCCATTTGTCAAATCTCATAGTCATAGTGTGTTGCTACAACTAGTAGGATTCTTATGGATTTAAGCATGGCCATTGGCGAAAAGGTTTCCTCATAATTGGTTCTCTCTTTCTGAGTATACCCCTTCGCTACAAGACAAGCTTTATAGGTCTAAAGCTTACCATTAGAGCCCTTATTCTTCTTGTAAATCCATTTGCAACCAATTGCTTTCACCCAAGGGGGTGAGTCTACAAGAGTCCAGACGTTGTTGGTCTCCATCGAGTCCATCTCGGCTTTCATGGCATCTACCCACTTCAAGGAATCAATATCCAACATAACTTCCATATAAGTCAGGAGATCTTCCTCACTGGTCGTGGCTTTCATCAAGTAACTTTCTTGATCATAGCCATAACGAACTGGAGGCCTAGAAATCCGGGTAGATCTTCTAAGTTGGGTATTATCTGGAGCCAGTGGGACATCTCCCGTTACCCCTGGGCTCTCCTCATGAAGAACAACTTCCTAACGATGATTGTCTAGGATGTAATATTCTTCAAAGAAGTAGGCATTTCGACTGCAAAACACCTTTTGCTCTTTTGAGTCATAGAATAAGTAACCTACAGAGCTTTTGGGTACATAAAGACAATCTTTAAGTGTAATTATTCCTTCTCAGAAATACAATTCTTCAGTTTCTATGGTTGTAGCTGCAAGTGTTGCAGAAGTCCCCAAGTAAAGTGTCACTTCTCCTTCACTCAGCCTTCTGCTTGTCTTGAACCCTTGCAATGTGTTACATGCATGAGTAGAAGCCCCAGAGTCAATACACCAGGATGCAGAAGTGACCAACAAATTGGTCTCTATGACAAAAGACTTGAAATTACCTTGCTTCTTGGTCTCCAGGTATTGAGGACAATTCCTCTTCCAGTGGTCGGTCTGCTTGCAGAAACGACAAACATCTGATGTCTTATCCTTTTTTTGCTTTTTAGGTTTACCGGCTTTCTTCTGAGGCTTCTTCTTAGCTTTCCTCTTTTTCTTGCCTGGTTTGCCACGTTCAACAAGCATTGCTATCGGCTTGTCCTTCTTTATCAGTTCTTCAGCCCTTTGCAACATATTGCTAAGTTCTTGAAGGTAACCTTTAATTTATTCATGTTGTAATTCATGATAAACTGATTGAAGGAGGGAGGCAAAGAGTTTAAGGCGGCATCAATTTTGGTGTCATCATCTAGCCCAGGCCCGAGAGCCTCCAGTTCATTGATGTAGCCCATCATCTTGAGACAATGGTCTTGAACCTATTGGTTCTTAGACATCTGTGTGGTCATAAACAACTTTATGACATTTTGTCGAGTAGTACGATTATGCTCTTCATACATGGTCCTCAGACTATCCATGATATCCTTGGACACTTCGATCTTATCGAATTATCTCTGTATCAGATTGTCTAAGGAGGCTATAATATAACACCGGGCAAGAGAGTTCTCTCCTCCCATTCTTGATATTCCTTTTTATAGGCCTCGGAAGCCCTATCACTCAGACGTTCCGGTGTAGGGTTTTTGGCTACCTTGTCCAACTTCTCGGACGTCAGCACCAGCATAAGGTTACGAAACCAGTTAGCATAATTGGGTCCTTTAAGCTTGTTATCATCCAACAGTTTGTCGAATTGTCCGTTTGCCATTTCTGATAAAAGGCAAAATATTAGTCCACGACCTAAAAAGTGATTCATGTTATTTACATAGAAAGGGCTTTTAGTTCATCTTGTTAATAATATATTACTTTGGTAATTTTTTCTTTAAATTTTTAATGCTCTTCAATATCTGATTGCAATCCAAAATTCGACTCAAATCCGTATGTTAATGAATCAAATTTGGATCTGGGTATATTTGATTCGATCTGATCCATTTGAAGTCCTAGATAATCTATTGGGTATCTCCATTAATAACAAGTTGGTGGAAGAGAGAGAAATTCTGGAAAATGAATATGCTCAATAGGTGGAAGGAGAGAAATTCTACGGGCAGGAGAGGGAGGGGCAAAAGAGTTAAAGGTTGGAGAAAGGTGTAGAGTGCTTAGATTTATTGGTGCTGTTAGAATCCCACCAAGAGATTGAGGGAGAAGTGTTGTCTGTTATACCGTTAGCAGTGTTAGGGGAACAACAATAGGGTCAACTGTTGGAAATCCCTCATAAATCATGGGTGGATGAGGTTGAAGAACAGAAGGATGTGAAAAGAGCTAATGGTAACACCATATTTGAGTTGGTGTGATCATATCCTGGAGGTGAGCAAAATTCTGGGGGTTTCCTTTGAAGGTAGAGAGGGAGAGAGAGTTATTGATCCTATTTATGGCTCTGAAAAATAGGAAAAGTGAGGGTTGCAAGGATCTGAAGGTGCTGCTTAATAAGATTCTGTAAGTAAGGAGCAAAACAGGTTGAAGTGGATGCTGAATGAAAGGGATCAGCTAGTGAGGCAAGGAGAGGAAGGGGTAGGTGTGGGGGTCAGAGGGGGAGAGGTTCTGGGAGCTCATTTTGGGGCAGACCTCTTTAAACAGAGTTTCTGATGGGTTTTGACATATTATGGTGGAAAGTTAATGAGTTGGGGGTGGCAGAAAAACAATCTTTGGTGGAAGTTGGAGATAGTAATCTTTGGCTCTTTGCTTTTAATCGGTATAATGCTTAATATGAAAAAAAGGCGTGCTCTTATTCATCAAAAGAAAAAAAGACATGCTCTTATCTTGCCCATTACTAATTCTATCTTCTTCCACAATACCATCCTTTTACTCCTCATCGGTATGGTTTTGCCACAAAAACTGAGTTTTGAAGCAGAATCTGTTGAAATAACATCCAGTTCCTTAATAAAGTTATGTCTACTTTCTTTTTTCTTAATAAAGTTTTCCTTTAACTATAAAAAATGTAAAGAAACATTCTGAAAAAGGAAACATAGGATATAGCAAACCACATATATATGCCGTTTTGTGAAATGGTTAGACACAAATTACATGTGTTAAAAAGCAAGAGTATGGAGAGGATGCATACTGATGCACAAAATTTGGATCAAGAGCTGCCCTGCTACCAAAAAAAGAAAGAAAAAACTGAAGAAGAAAGTGTGAGAATGGAGATTTTACTATAGAGGACAGCCCTTTCTGTGTAAGCCAAAATTTGCAGGACCATCAATAATTGTATTCATCTCCATTTGAATTAATTTATTTGAACCCTCAAGTTTGCTGAGGGCTCCAGGATCTCATTTAAAACATGTCTGGAGTTCTGAAGACTCAAATATTACATGTATTAATGGCTCATAAACATTAAGATTTTCTTTTTTTTTTTATTTAAATTTTTGTAATGCTTTCCCTTTTTCTTATTGTTTTTCCTCTCCTTTTACCTAATTTTCATAAGTTGAAATGTTATCATGCTACAACAATTTGCTTTTCTGATGCTGTTACCAAAGTTTGAACAGAGCAGGTTCCAGTTTAATTGAAAATGAAAATATTCTAGTAGAAATAGTTTGGTTTTTGGTGGATGTTTAAAACCTTGGTGGAAACATAAAAGGGAAAAGAAAGCTTGTTTAATTGAATGGGTCCTGTTGTAGTTGTTAAGAAGAATGAGTTTCAAGAGGTTAGTAGAAAATAATTGATGAATTTCAGTGGATTGGTTATTCCCATTCAACCATTTGAACTCCCAATACCAAACACATCCTTCGGACCTTCTCCCCCAATCCAAAATTGAAATGATCTAAATTGTTTTAGGACTACAAAGCACATTAAGGTTGTAACACTTGATATAACATGTTTCACATGACCGACCCTATACTATTGAACGTATAGTGGTAGGAGAAGGCAGAAGACTTGCAAGAGCAAAAGGACAGTTGTTGTAATATGTTTAGTGTGGAAAACACCCATATGAGGTGCTACTATCTTTACATAGCTTAAGATGGAGATCAATTCTTCTTTGCTTGAATTTTAGCATTATCTAAATAATTATGTTCATACAAAAAGCAGTGGATTTGAAACTCTATTCTTCTCTTTCATCAGTTTGTTTATTGGACATATGGGATCAAGGAATGTATTATAATGCCTGTTCCTAAGGAGACAGTAATGGCTATCAAGTCTTACCAAGTGCAGGCTCAAATGTTGGTCAGGGATTACTTACTAGCGGATCCTTTTCTTCCATACACTTCTGTTCTTGGGGGTATATTCGCTTGCAAGATGGTATGTCATAATTTCTTTATCTTTATTAATTTCTATAATTTTTATTGTTCCTTTTTTGTGTTGTGCAGTAAGGAATATGTGGGGTGCAGGGCTGTTAATTGATTGAACCATGATATCAAACCAATTCTAAAAAGAGAACTTCATGGGCCACTTTTCATAAAAACGAAAAAAAAAACTTCATGGACCTACAGTAGCAGGATTGGTTGTTCTTCTGAGTGATATCTCTTGTTTATTATAATAGCAGGAATTCTTCTCCTATAGTAAGTTGTTTATTTGATTCTTTTTTTTTGATCAATAACAAGATTTCATTAGGAGTATTATGAAAAGAAATACAAGAGCAGGAGAGATAAACTTCCTTAACTCTCCATATTATAATTTAGCTATTACAATCGAGCTCAGAACAGATTACTCCTTCCCATTCCTTGCTTTGCTAACACATAAGCAAACCCATTTGCCATTCTTTTTTCCCAATTAAACTTCACCTCCATATTTTGTGTCAAGCACTTGAACCTTTTCTTTTCATTGTTAAAATCCAAAACATTTTTCTTCCTTCTGCAGTCTCTCCACTATCAGCTTTGAATCCCCCTCTATAATCAGCTCTCTTATATTCATGTCCTTTGCCTTTTGTATTCCTTCCATGACAGCTAACACCTCAGCCCTTAATGAATCTCCTTCTCCAATTGGGCCCGAGAATAGGCCAACAGTTCTGCCTTCATTATCTCTAAACACCCCTCCAATACCCAAGGGACCTGGAACTGTTGGGTATTGGAGGGGTGTTTAGAGATAATGAAGGCAGAACTGTTGGCCTATTCTTGGGCCCAATTGGAGAAGGTGATTCATTAAGGGCTGAGGTGTTAGCTGTCATGGAAGGAATACAAAAGGCAAAGGACATGAATATAAGAGAGCTGACCCCATTCAAAGCTGGTAGTGGAGAGACTGTGGAGGAATTGGATTACCCCACACCTCCTTAACAGGAAAAGGTGGCCCTTTAGAGTTAGACAGATTAGTAATAGCCTTGAAAAATGAGGCACAAGAGTAGACACTAGATGGAGGCAGAGTCCAGATACGACTATCAGGTTTTGAGACGTCCAAGTAAACTCCATCGAGGATATGAAGCAAATTTATTATTTATGGCAACATTCAATTCTGAGTCCCTGACCCCCCTTCTCATACCCAAATCTCATTCAACACCCCTCAAAGAGTTGGAAGGAAGCAAGAAAGATGACATTGGTTTGTTTTTATATCTTGACATGGCAAAAATAGAGGGGAATTTAACTTTCAAAGAGATATCTCCCACCCACACCTGTTCCCAAAATTTAATGAGGTTACCCGAACAAAGGTCATACCCGACAAAAGGCAGGCAGGAAGGAAGGGCAGCATAAATGGCCTTCCAAGTGGAGGCTCTAGTTGCTTCAGTCAATAATCCATCATCTCAGCCATCAGCCACAAGCCCATGAATTCCTACCGCCATTTTAGCCCAAAGCTTATCCTTTTCTCCAGGTAGTCTCCAAAGCCACTTCCTTAATAAAGCCTCATTCCTCTTCTGTAAGTTACCTAAACCTAAGCCTCCAAACCTCTTACCTTTACTCACTATTTCCCAGTTCACCCTATGATCCTTTTTTATTCTCCCCTGGTTCCCACAAGAAGTCCCTCATCATTTTCTCCAATTTCCTACTAACATTCACCGGCATCTTGGAGACGAACATAAAATACATAGGCAGATAGGCCAAGGTGGCTCTTATTAATGTAATCTTTGCTCCTAGGGACAAATAATTCTTCTTCCAAGCAGCAAGTCTCTTATCAAATCTTTCTACCACAGGGTCCCAAAAACTACTCTTTTTTGAATTATCTTCCAAAGGTAATCCCAAATATTTCATGGGCTATTGTGACGCTTTGCATCCCAAAATACTTGTATATTGCAACATTTCCCCTTGTTCCATGTTGAGTTTTGGGCTGATATCACTTGTTTTTATTTACATAGAATAGTTAAGGAGTTATTGGGCCCAAGGCCATTAGTTTATATTTTAAGTTAAGAGTGTTTATTCCGTTTTTACAAGTAGCCGATTTACTAAGGGCATACTTGTCTTTGTACTCTATTTTTATTTGTGAGTATATAAGCTAATGAAAGGGAAGGCCAAACCTAATTTTGGCTTCTCCCACTCTCTTCAGGCTCTCTCCTCTTTCTTTCTCTACATAAACCTGCTCTTCTCTTTCTTTTCTTCTTTCTTTCACAGTTTTTATATCAAAACAGATCTTCCAAACTTATTTACTTGGTACCAGAGCAAGTTTAGAGACTTTTTGAGCTGCTCCATCATGCAGCCCTAGATCGGCCGACTTCATGATGAGGTAAAGGGCTGATCGAGGACTTCAGGTAAGCCCAATTTTTGGATTTTTTGGTGGATTTGTAATCCCTTATAACTGGTCTAGGGTTTAACACCAAAATCAGAAAGAATGTGATGATGAGGAACCCAGGCCTTGAGTAGTCAGCTATGGTTAGTACAGTGAAGCCTAAGCTGAGTGGGGATAAGGGTGGAAATGAATCGAGGAACGAGGACAAGAAGGATTTGATCTGCGACTATTGTAAGAAACCTAAACATACCAGAGATACCTGCTGGAAGCTTTACCCACACCTTGTATCGAGCTGACTCAGAAACAAGAAGGGAAATGTGAATATGGCAATGACTAGTGATTTATCAGGACCACCTACTACAACTTCTCTAGAGTTTGTTGCAGTAGCTGCAATGAGGGCTGAATTGGAGAGATATGGGCAGTTTTTGAATCAGAGGGATACAACCTGTCATAGTTTTCAAGGCGCCAAGGTGAGGCTAGGCGACCATGGGGTGCCTAGGCGCCTAGCCCTCGCCTAGGCGATGTAATTTAAAACTAAGGCTTGCCATGGATTTCTATCCCTTTTGAACTAGTTTTTATTGGTTTTATGTATTCTGCACTTACTTTTGTGCTTGTATTTCTTGCAGTGTTGCTTCAAGTAGGCAAAACAATATATTAGAGTTGCAACTTACAAGTTAAAAGTTAGAACTTGAAAGAACTGAAGGGTGCAGAGCCCCTATTTTAGATCAACAATACATGGGGAACAAATACTAAAATAAAAGAAGAAAGTGAAAAGGAAAAGTAGGGGGCGGAGCCCTTGTTCTAGACCCAGAAAATCTGGTGAAAAAAATATTAAAACAAAAGAAGAATTATGAAGAAGAAAAGAAGGGATGGAGCCTTGTTTCAGAAACCAATGTTGAGAACAAAAAACGATAAAAAAATGGAAGAAATTAAGAACAAAAGAAGGGGGCAAAGCCCCTGTTCTAGACCCAGAAAAGCTGGTGAAAAATATACAAAAATAAAAGAAGAATATGAAGAATAAAAGAAGGGGTGGAGCCCCTGTTTCAGACACCAATAATGAGAAAAAAAAGCTGAAAACATGCAGGAAATTTAAGAACAAAAGGAGGAGGTAGAGTCCCTATTTTAGTCCAAGAAAATGATTCAAAAAACTTGGAGAAAAGATACAAAAAGGAAGAGGAGAAAATGGGGCGTAACCACTGTTTTAAACTAGGAAATAGAGAAGAACTGATTAACTCACCTTGACTTTAGAGGACTGTGTGGGAACGATGGAGGCTGTTGTTCTCTCATGTTCCTCTGTTTGATACTTCGATTCTATTGTCAATGTGACACCTTCGAAGATTAACATTTTTTTTTTACTTTCCTCAAAACAAAAGCATGAAAACCAATGTTTTCAAACCATCGTTGACCCGGATGGTCGGACCGTTTGGACCGGAAACCGTTCAGGCGACCGGTTCTGTTTTAACCCAAACCCGCCATTTGGTCAAAAACTGTTGAATGAGTCAATGGACCATTGACTTGGATGGTTTGACCGATAAACAGTTCGACCCGGAGAATGGTTTGTTGCTTAGATCTCAGATCTGAGAAATCTTTGAGATTGAGAAGTCTTAGATCTGAGACTGAGAAATCTTAGATTTGTCTTTCTCGCGTGAGAAGGTGAGAAAGAGAGAGATCTGAGACTGAGAACACCGCCGTTGTTGCCATTGTAGTTCGCCATCGCCATTGCCGTCGCTGTCGCCATCGCCGTCATTGTCGCCACTGCAAGCTTGCAAGTCCTCCTCCTCCTCCTCTTCTTCTTCTTCTTCTTCTAAGCTCTTTCAGTTCAGCCGATAACTTTCAAGTTTCAACCCTTATTTCCTCTTATATAGTATGCATTAATGCATCTTACCCTAATATTCCAATCTAATGGGTAAGATGCTCAAACCGTTCGAATCGTTTGACCCGGATGGTCGAACCGCTGACCTAGAAACTAGTGGCCAGAACAGTTTTGTTTCTGGGTCAATTTTTAAAACCTTGATAATAACATGCAATAGGTTCTATTATAAAAAATAAAACAACCAATAAAATATTATATATTATATATTTTTTGTTTAATAAATATTTATATAATATATGTTTGCTTCAGCCCACTAAGCTTGCACCTAAGATAGTTGGCATTTGGGCAAGGCGCTCTTTGAAAAGTTCCTAGTTGCCTAGGCGTTGCCTTGACAACTATGCAACCAGTTCCAACTCCTTATCAAGTGGACAACAAGGTGTAGGTGGATCAAGAGGTTGCCATTCTACTTTGTTTGCACATACAGGTAGTTCATGTCACTACAAATTATGTATCCACTACAGGTAAGGGGGGACCTCCCTAGATTATAGACTTAGGAGCCTTAGAACATATGACCAACATCTCCGCCATTTTCTCCTCATATCACCTCTGCTTTGGCAGAGATATAGTTTCCACAGCTGATTGATCAAATGTTCCCATTGCTGGGAAAGGGTCTGTCAAGATAACCAATACCATTACCCTACCTTCTGTCCTTCATGTTCCTAGACTAAGCACTAATCTTTTATCTGTTAGTAGCTTGACAAAGAATTTGAACTGTTTAGTGATTTTTTTCCTGATCATTGTGTTTTGCAGGAGTTGGAATCAAAGAGGACAATGGGGA